GGGAATGCGATAAGATACAAAGTTTCTGGAGGATGGTCAGAAAGGTAATCCAAGAAAGCCTGGGGAAAAATCTAGAGTTAAAACCTGAAATTTATTTGTTAAATATGATCCCAACAGGATACAATAAGCAAGATGCTTATGTATTAAGCTACATTATAACAGCAGCCAGATTATTAATAGCTCAAAAATGGAAAGCTGAAGCTATACCTAAAAGGGAAGATTTAATAGATAAGATACTGGAACTAGCCAGAATGGATAATTTAAGTCTAATGTTACAGAATAAAAATGAAAAGGTGCATGAAAGAAGGTGGGGAAAAGTATATAAGTGGATAGAAGAACTGTTAGAAAATTAATAGCCCAACTTGTAAATAATGTAAGAAATGGAAGACTCTGATATATATGTAACCTGAATAGATGAAATGTTTGTGCGTATAAATATAAGAAAATAAAAATTGTAAAAAAAAAACACAGACGCCCTGTGAGAAGAAGAGAAGAGAGAAGAGATTGGATTTATACCCCGCCCTTCACTACCCAAAGGTGTCTCAGAGCAGCTTACAAACTCCTTTCCCTTCCCCTCCCCACAACAGACGCCCTGTGAGAAAGAAAACATTCTGAAAGGCACCCCCCCCTCAAGTGAGCAAGCAGTTATCCTAGTAGGGAGCAGAATACAGCTCTCAGATTTCCTTGGGGTTTGCATTAATCAAGGAGGTGGCCTGGCACCAAACTCTGGGAGTCAGTCCCATTTTATTCAATGGGGACTGCACCCATTCTTAGGTCTGCAGCCACTTTCCTTCAGGCTAACCTACCTGACAGGGTCGTTGTAAATGGGCTGAGGGAGCCATGTATGCCATCCAGAATTCCTTGGAGCAAGGATAATCAACATATCAGTTATCGGTATAGCAGTCTGAATAGCCCAGCTTAGCCCGAGGTCATCAGAGCACAGAAGCTAAGTAGACTCAGCCATGGTCAGTTCTTAGATGGAAGACTATCAAGGAAGATGGGGGTTGCTATGCAGAGACAGGCAGTGGCAAACCACCACTGCTCATCTCTTGCCATGAAAGCCCCATTATCCTGGGGTTGCCATGAGTCAGCTGCAGCTTCACATAACATTATTATCATGAAGAAGAGGAAGAGGAGATTGGATTTATACCCTGGCCTTCACTACCCAAGGGAGTCTCAGAGCGGCTTTCAAACTCCTTTCCCTCCCCCTCCCCAAAACAGACACCCTGTGAGGTCGGTGAGGGCGGTGGGGCTGAGAGAGCTCTTGACAGAAACGGCTCTTTTTCAAGAACAGCTCTTATCAGAGCTATGGCTTGCCCAGGGTCATCCAGCAGCTGCAAGTGGAGGAGTGGGGAAATCAAACCCGGTTCTCCCAGATTAGAGTCCGCGCACTTAACCACTACACCAAACTGGCTCATCATGATCAGTAATGCTGCGTTGCATATTTTTAGTTATTCAAATAGGTTCTTTCTGGATCACTTGCTCTGGATTTTGATGTAGTTCAGCTTTTTAAGTGTCAGAGGGGGCTGATTCTTAGAGGAGAGTGGCATAAGTAATTTCAAAAGAAATAGTCTCAATTTATAGGGATAATTGTTATTCTCCAAAATGTATAAGGTTCTTGAGGCTTTGTACTGTAATATTGATTCCTCTTAGCAAACACCAAAGCAAGATCTAAATAAAGAAATAAAACCCCAAAAAGCTAAATACAAAGCAGGTAGATATAACTATATATGAAAAGTCTAATTCCTTCATTTGAATGCAGGATCATATATCCCTATGCTAAGAAAGAAGAACTACAGGTACCGTTGGCTTCCACTCGGATATATATCGATTACACACCGAGGACACATATACACAGCCCATGATCTAAGTTCTGGTGAAGAGCTGAGCAGTCATCAGACTGAACTACGTGTGACATCAATCTCCTATGTAATATTTAAAAGCTCAGTTTTCTCTGCAGAACATTGGATTTCTGCTGCCTACCTGGAACTGCTTGCAGACCGAGGCTACCTTGGTGGGTTTTGGGGCCCGACTAGAGGTTTGAATCCATTTCTCCAAAAGCTAAAACAAACATCCCAAGAATTTGTCTGTATTCATACAGGGGCCTGTGTTTGCCATCAAATTCTGGGCTAAAACAAGACATTCTAAATCTGTTATACAAATACGCATGCCTTTGTTTATTTTACGTGCTTTGTGCTAGTTGTAGAATTATAAGTGGCGGTCTGTAAATATGCATGCTGATTTCATTGTTTTAAAATGAAGGTAACACCCTGTCCCTGTCGTTTGATCCCAGCAGTCGACTGCCTCTGAGCACGGAGGTCAGTGAACAGTCACTGTGGGTCAGTGAGGGCGAACCTTTTAGAGACCGAGTGCCCAAACTGCAACCCAAAACCCACTTATTTATCACAAAGTGCCAACACGGCAATTTAACCTGAATACTGTGGCAAAATCAACATTCGAACCAGGAACCCACCACCATCAGCAGCATGAAGCAAGGCAGCCTATTCTCCTAGGGTTGCCAACCTCCAGGTGGTGGCTGGAGATCTCCTAGGGTTCACCTGGAGAAAATGGCTGCTTTGAACAGTAGACTGTATGGCATTCTACCCCACTGGAATCCCTCCCCTCCCAAACCCGACCATCCTCGGGCTCCACCCCCAAAATCTCCAGGCATTTTTCGTCCCAGAGCCAGCAACCCTGTAGTCTGGTGAGAACCAGAGCAGAGGGGATGTGGACTGAAGGGGAATATTCCTGGCAGAGATTTCTAAAATCAAACATGACCCCCTGTCTGGGTTGCCAACTCTAGGTTGCAAAGTACCTGCAGATTTGGGGAGAGGGGATCCTGTGTAGTGCAGAAACCTCAGCGGGGTATAAAAAAACTCCAAAAAAAACACACCATCTCCTCCAGGAAAACTGACCTGTCACCTGGAGACAGGATGTAATTCAGGAGATCACCTGGCCCCACCTGGAGGTTAGCAACTCTACCACACACACTTCCCCCCTCCTCTTACCACGTTTTCCCAGCACTAACATTCTGTGAGGCACAAGGAAGAACAAGGCTCCCTACAACCCGGACAAGAACGCCCTGTCCCTTCCACGGCACATCCTAGGACGCCACCACTTTAAAGGGGCAGCAGCAGTACATTTCCCATGCCAGGCTGCTGGCGCAGACGGAACCACCCCAGAGCCTCGCCTTGCCGGCCTCTCCCTTACATGAACCCGGTGCCACCGGTCACCAGGATCTGCTTACCAAAGCC